CTCCCCAAAACCCCAAAACCCCAAAACCCCTAAAATAGTTGCTTAAATTGAAAGTGTACCGAGACTGACCTCGTACAGAAAATAATGTAGAAGAAGAACAACTGTTAAATGAAACGGATCACTGACAATTTCAAGAAATATAAGAAGGAAGTCCAGAAGAATTTTAAATTCTGAACGAAGAAGGAACAGAAGCTGAGCAAGAACGAAAAAAAGCAGAAACGAATCAACGAGGTAGCAGATACCTCTGCTATTGATTTCTTTGATGATTTTGATGATGGACTCCCTGAGAAACCTCAGATAAAGCCTCAGGCAAAGCTTCCACCAAAGCAAAAGCCGAAGAGAAAATATCAAAGGAAGAAGGTACAGGAAGATGAAGATTTTCAAATTCAAGAGCCAGCACCAAGAAAGCGTCGCAGAAAGAAGCAACCTGTTAGATATAATGATGACCAGGAAGCCCCTCTTGAGCAGGACGATGCTTTTGACGTAACTCTTGAGGATCTGGATGGCCTTAGTGACGAAAACTACGATATCAACTTTAAGTCAGGTAAATATGACAGAGAAAAAGCTAAGTTAAGAAAGATGATTGAGATAGATCCTGATGAAGAAGAACCTCCAAAGAAAGGCCGCAAGAAGGCATCTAAAGGCAAAAAGAGGAGAAGGAGAAAGAACCAAGATCCTGAAGTCTCCATAGAACTCTATGACGAGAACTTGATCTCTATTAAGTTCATTGGATTTTTTAATGAAAATTTGAAGAATCTGATTAAGAACAGGAAGCATACCTGCTTTGATAATGAACGCAAGTGTTGGGTCACAACAATCAAAGCTTATCGAGACGTCATTGATGACATGAAGCAGTATATCGTGAAGGAGAATGCCAAATTCCAAGAGATCCCAGAATTCGCAATTGAGCTAATGAAGGGAAAGCATCCATTTTACAGTGAAAATGATGCAATAGAGGTCGTGTATGACTATTCACAGGATTTTAAGGTAAGAATTAACTATAAACATTTAGAAAAATCTCACATTTGACTCCTTACCAGCATTCATGAGGGAGACTTTGTATGACTTCCAAAAGGAAGGGGTCAAATTTGGCCTTTCCAAGCATGGTCGATTTCTGCTAGGTGATGAGATGGGAGTTGGCAAGACAATCCAAGCTATTGCTATTAGTTTCATCTATAAAGACGAATGGCCTCTGCTTATAATCTGACCTTCCACAATTGTAAGTGTCGATATTTTGAAGTTATATAGAAATATCTATGGAGAGACGAGATCTTAAGGTGGCTCCCAGGATTGGATAGGTCTGAAATCCAGGTTATGAGGAAAGGAAACGATCAGTTTAACCCATATTCAGCTATTTTTATCATGACTTATGAACTTGCAGTCAAATTTTCATCTGAAATCAACCATTTAGGGTTCAAAGTGGCCATTGTGGACGAGGCTCATTATCTGAAGAATTATAGTGTAAGTTAGAATTCCTCATTTCTAGGCGAAGCGGTCAAAAACATTAATCCCAATTCTAGCAAATATGAGGAGAGTTCTGCTCCTGTCAGGTACACCAATTTTGGCAAAACCAGTGGAGCTATTTAACTTATTAAAAATCCTGAGGCCAGATATCTTCTTCAACTTCATGGATTACGCTAATCGATATTGTCGACCAAAGGAGACTAGCTATGGCCTCGATTGCTCTGGAAATGACCATGTAAAGGAGCTTCATTGTCTCTTAGAGAAGCAGATTATGATCCGGCGACTCAAGTCTGATGTCCTGTCCCAGTTACCTCCGAAGAGACGCCAGAAGATTGAGGTTACCACTGACGAGAAGATCGTAAACAAGATAAGAGCTATCATCTGCAGACAAGCCAAAAGCCGTGGCAAAGAGAAACGTAAGAGTTTTGAGTAACTTATAGAAACCATTGAGGAACGGTTCATTGAAATGCTTGCTCGAGAAGAAGGATCGCTTAAGGACTTTCACAGTGACTCGGGTGGGTTCAAGCTTGATGAAGAAGAGAAATGCTTCCTTAAGGCTTACCACCTAAGCGGAACTGCTAAAATAGTAGGAATCTTGGAGTTTGTAGAAACCATGATTGAGAGTAAGCCTCTTGCTAGTCTAATTCTGTCTAGATGATGCCAAATTCTTGATATTTGCTCAACATCTTGAGATACTTAACAAAGTCGAGACTCTTGTTAATAAGAAATAAAGTGGACTATATACGAATCGATGGAAATGTTAATACAGAATTGAGACACCAGTCAGTGAGGCACTTCCAGGAAGACCCTAATTGTCTCGTAGCCATCCTATCAATTACTGCAAGCAGCTTAGGAATTACTATGACTGCTGCAACCAATGTGATTTTCGCTGAAGTACATTGGACGCCTGCTCATCTCCTCCAGGCAGAGGATAGAGTCCATAGGATTGGGCAGGAAAATTCTGTGAATATATACTATCTGTTCGGCAAAGATACAATGGATGAGATAATCTTCCCAGTTCTGAGACAAAAGTCTCATGTAATCTCTGAAACCCTTGATGCAAGGAGGACTGACTACAACCTCAATATTAAGGCCAAGCAAGGCCTCAATTCTGAAGAGAAGGAGAATCTTGAACGAGAAGCTCTAGTCCGAAAACGAGATTATGAAAAAAAATGCAGAAGGAAAATAGCAAGGAACTCTCAGCTTATTCTGGCAGGATCGGGAAGGCAAAGTATCCGATTATACGTACAAATCTTCCGAAAATTCCCAATGAAGAGCCTGAATCAGCTTCTGAAGAAGTCTCTGATTACTCATCTTATATCGCTCCTGAAGATAAATCGCTTAAAAACGAAACTGAGAAGCCAATGGAGGAATCAAATTTGGCTGTAGAGGAACAACCGAAGGAGACATCTGGAGATTTTGAGATCAGTGACACGGATCTGCTAGATTTAGTCAACGAAGCCCAGAAAGAGCAAAATAAGGAGATCATTCTACCACCAAAACCGCAGGATCTTCAACCTGAGCCCGCCCAAGACTCTGAAAGTGAAGAAGAAACTGAAGTGAAAGAGCAGAAATCTGAAGTTGATTTGTTCCTTGAGGAGTTGAGAAAAGGCCAAGAGCTTGATAACATTGCATCAAAGGCTGCTTCAGATGCTTTGAGTAACAACTTGTTTAGCCAAACTGGTCCAATGATGATGCAAGGGAAGACGATACACCCTAGTAATGCAAATAAGACATTTTCGATGGATATCAATCCTTATAATCAGCAATCTAGCAACATTGGTAACAAAGTTGAGGATCTAAACAAAGATATTGCAGTTTCTGAGTTACATCAGGCGTTCCTCAGACATCAAACTAATCCAGGGAGGAGCAACAAGAGAAAGTTGAGGAATCTGGAGGACTCTCTTCGAGAGAAATCCAGTGCTGAAAACTCACACAATAAAGAGATTGGTGTCTTTAAGAAAGCACTTGAGAATAACCCAAAGGATGTTAATAAAACAACAGAGGAAGATGATTCTTTCATCATAGATGAAGCAGATCTTGAGGAATGTCTTGATAGTGAGATGAAGGGTCTTACAGAATTTGAGATCAATGAGACTGACCTCAAGGATCTCTAAAGGAGCCAAACCTTCTAATTTATTTCAACAATTTTCCTTTGCACTGGGGTTTTGGGGTTTTGGGGTTTTGGGG